GATGTGATCTGATCTGATGTGATGATCTGATGTGATCAGACCTGATCTGATGTGATCAGACCTGATCTGATGCAGACTCTGATGTGATCTGACCTGATCTGATCAGACCTCTGATGTGATCAGATCTGATGTGACCTGATCTGATGTGATCAGACCTGAATCTGATGTGAGACCTGATCTGATGTGATCAGACCTGATCTGATGGAATCAGACCTGATCTGATGTGATCAGACCTGATCTGATGTGATCAGACTGATCTGATTGTGATCAGACCTGATCTGATGTGATCAGACTGATCTGACTGATCTGATGTATCTGACCTGATCTGATGTGTTCAGACCAGATCTGATGTGATCACACAGATCTGATGTGATCAGACCTGATCTGATGTGATCAGCCTGATCTGATGTGTTCAGACCTGTGAGATCTGATGTGATCCCTGATCTGATGTGATCAGACCTGATCTGATGTGATCAGACCTGATCTGATGTGATCAGACCTGATCTGATGTGATCAGATCTGATCTGATGTGATCAGACCTGATCTGATGTGATCAGACCTGATCTGATGTGTTCAGACCAGATATGATGTGATCTGATGTGATCAGACCTGATCTGATGTGATCAGACCTGATCTGATGTGATCAGACCTGATCTGATGTGATCAGACCTGATCTGATGTGATCAGACTGATCTGATGTGATTAGACCTGATCCTGATCTGATGTGATCAGACCTGATCTGATGTGATCAGACCTGATCTGATGTGATCAGACCTGATCTGATGTGATCAGACCTGATCTGATGTGATCAGACCTGATCTGATGATCAGACTGATCTGATGTGCCTGATCCCTGATCTGATGTGATCAGACCTGATCTGATTGTGATCAGACTGATCTGATGTGATCAGACCTGATCTGATGGATCAGACCTGATCTCCCTGATCTGACCTGATCTGATGTGATCAGACGAGACAGAAGCAATCTGTCATGATCTGATATGATCTTACCTGATCTGACCTGATTTGATGTCATCTGCCCTGATCTGATATGATCTGACCCGATGTGATCTTACATGGTCTGACCTGATTTGATGTAATATGATCTGAACTGATTTAATTAGGCCTGATTTTATATAATCTGACCTGATCGGATACGATCTGACCTGATCTGATATAAATAGACCTAATCTGCCCTGATCTAATGTGATCTGACGTGATCGAACCTGATCTGATGTAATCACACCTTATCTGATGTGATTTTCTATAATCACACCTTATCTGATGTGATCTTATATAATCACACCTTATCTGATGTGATATATAATCAGCCTGACCTTATCTCATGTGATCACCCTGATCTTATTAGATGTGATCTTACCTGATATGATGTGATCTGACCAGATCTTACCTGATATGATGTGATCAAACCTGATATGATGTGTCTGACCTGATCTGATGTGATCAGACCTGATCTGATGTAATCAGACCTGATCTGATGTTATCTAACCTGATTTGTTGAAATATGACCTGATTTGATGTTTTAAAAAATGAAACTGAATTACTAATGAAACGTGTAGGAAACTTAAAAGTGAAACTGAACTAAAAAGAGCAAATATAAAACTGAATAAAAATACTTAAAACACAAGCAGAACTTAAATGAAGTAGAAAGATATAAAAACGAAAAAAAACTACGACAAAAGAACTCAAAGAACATAAAAATAACTGCAAAGGTCAAAATAACTCAAAGTAAAACAAAGCACATCCCATTTAAATAATTAAAATACGTCTTTTGGCCGAAAATAACACTCTACTTAACTTAGATCGGAGACTCGGCGGGCCTTGCAAAATAACGACACAGGTTCCGGATATCGGACGCAAGAATTCTGACACTCCGTTCTAGCTGACCTTCCCGATATAAACAGACAATCGCCGCAGGTGATTGCCGATCGCTATCACGATCAAAATCAATTTCCTAGTGTCTTAGAATGGTTTGGTTCGCTGGACATTGCAATTTTTAAGTAAGAATTAATGAAATAAAAGTACAAAAATGCATACAAGTAAATATATATACGATAAAACAAACGAAAATAGAAAATGGGAGTATATAAAATGCGACGTTAAAAAGGGGGTAAAAACTTATACAATAAAACAATAGAAAGAACTAAGGCTTAATTAAAAATACTATACATTAAGCCATTAAAGAATAACAGAAAAGATCGTTAAAACAATATATCGCAAACACGTGGTCGCCCCGATTTACTGCTCCTTGCGGGGGACAAGCTTGGAATCTAGGCGGCGCTACCGATTTTTGGGGTAACTCCCTTAAAACAGGTCACTACAACATGACCTGATGTGATTTGACCTGATCTGATGTAATCTGACCTTGTATATGTTATGGCCTGATCTGATGTGATCTACTGCAATTGATGTGACATGACCTGATCTGACCTGATTTAATCTGACCTAATCTGATGTGAGCCGACCTGATCTGATGTTTTGATTGAATTTGATGTGACCTGACCTGAATTAATGTATTCTGTCATGATCTGACCATATCTGAGTTACAAGGTTTATTTACACTGACAGTCGCTAAGCGAAGACGGGAACAGATTTTGCACCTTTATTTTGTTAGTGTGATGTTATTATGTGGTTCCGCGCTTTAAAGTTGACTTTCTCGATTATTATGCTTGTTTTTTCACTTTAGTACCGTTTTATGTTTGTTTACTAAGATTCTATGTCATTCAGATTTTTTTTTCCAAATCTAATACTATAGCTGGAAATCACACGTCACCCAAAACTAAACCATATGCTTAAGCTTGTACATTCACAAAGGGGAATTCAGCAACAAGGGAGAAAACAGTAACACGGGAGAATACATCAAGGTTAACTCAAATTATTCATAGGTTATCCCATTATGCTGCAGACACCGTATTGTATCCCACATATGCCGTCACCTGGTCTACTCTTAGAACATATTGTATTCACCGTGTCTGTTATCTACTTATCAAATTGTCACTTTGAAGCCTACTACTTATTCCCGCTGTAAAACTGAATCATACTAAACCCTTATTTAAAAACATGTACGTATGCACCAAAGGAATCTAATTTTAGCATTTACTTTAAATTCAATCAGAACGTGAAAGGGGCGACATGGAAGCACTCTGACTGATGATGTTTACCGGCAGGTGGCACTAGTCAGCTCAAAATTTTGAAAAAAAGAAAAAAAAAAAACATTTTGATGTTTATTTGCAATAGGGGAAAAGGTTTAGTTTTTTACAGTTAATTACAAACATGTTAGCAAAGTCTATTTACATTTAAGGTGTCACACGCACACACACACAGAAAGAGAGAGAGAGAGAGAGAGAGAGAGAGAGAGAGAGAGAGAGAGAGAGAGAGAGAGAGAGAGAGAGAGAGAGAGAGAGAGAGAGAGAGAGAGAGAGCGTAGATATATAGACAGGACAAATATATAGACAGGTAGATAGAAAGAATGAGAGAAATGCAACGTGTCTTTTCGCTGAGAGTGTAGGGTCACGGAACTATCACGTCTAGACAAATATTCTCGGAAAAAAACTGTGACGGAGACGTGACATGATAAAGCGGTGACATGATGAATAATGGGAATTGGCATTAAGAGTGACGCGTTGACCCGATGGAATACTACTTCCAATTCAAGATAAAATATAATAATTGTAATTAATTACAGTCGTTTACCAGTAATACAAAGAGATGTATTCTCGCTTAAATAATCAGTAGTTTGATGGCACCGAAAGTAAATGATGTAAGCCCAACACGCACACACGCGCGCGCGCCCTCACCCCAATTATACCCTATTTTAATTAATTTTTCCTTATTTACAGATTCTCATTTAAACCATTAGCCAATATCATACATACACCAGACTTTGGTACCACTTTATCTGTCGTAATACTGACGGGTATGTCTATACACAATGTATATGCACATATATCTATCTGATAGATATACATGTATCTGACTTTATACCCTATAGACATGCATATCTAGACTGATAGTTTTACTTTAGCATGTCCGTATGATGAATATCAATGGGTTCGGGTCTGGCACAATTATAACAAAAAGCCGCGTTGTCACGTGACTCCTGAGGGACCTGTTGCGCCTCCTCGCTGAGTCTTAACAGGTGAGAGGAAAGAGCCAGTGATCAATGAACTGACTTATTAAAGCTCTCTAACTTCATAATCAATTTACAGACTTCAAAACAAACAACACCAAAATAGGAAAGTAACACAGACAAAAATAAAATATTCTAAACTTAAACGGATGGAATCTTAAAGAACGCCTACAGAAAAAGAAACTGCTGCAAAAAGAGGAACTACGAGCACAGCAACAAGGGAGATTACAAGGCCAACTAACGGAACAAGGGAGACTAAAGCGAAGAGGGAAAATACAGCGAAAATGGAGAATACAGCAAAACAGAGAATACAGCAATAAGTGAGAATATAGCAACAAGGGAGAATGCAGCAAAAAGGGAGAATACAGCAACAATGGAGAGTGCAGAAAAAAAAAGAGTAAAGCCTAAAGGGAGAATACAGCAAAAACAGAGAAGACAGCATAAAGGAAGAATACAGCAAAAAGGGAGAAGACAGCAACATGAAGGAATACAGTATTTAGGGAGAATATAGCAATAAGGGAGAATACATCAGCAGGGGAGAATACAGCAACAAAGGAGAATACAGCAACAAGGGAGGATACAGCAACAAGGGAAAATACAGGAACAAGGGAGAATAAAGCAACAAGTATGAATACAGCAACAAGGAAGAATACAGAAACAAGGGAGGATAAAGGAAAAAGGATGAATACAACAAAAAGAAGAATCCAGCAGCAAGGGAGAATGCAGCCCCTAGGGAGAATACATCAATAGGAGAGAATACAACAAAAAGGAAAAAATACAGTACTAAGGAGAATGTATCAACAAAGGAGAATACAGCAACAAGGGAGAATGCAGGAAAAAAAAACTCCAACAATGCAACAAAGAGGGAATACAAAAACAAGGGAGAATATAGCAGGAATAGAAAATACAAAAACAAGGGAGAATACAGCAACTAGGGAGAATATAGAAAAGGGAGAATTCAGCAACAAGGGAGTATGCAACAAAAAGGGAGAATGCAACATAACGGAGAATGCAGAAACGAGGGTGTATACAGCAACAAGGAAGAATGTAGCAAAAAGCGAAAATACAAGGGGGAATACAGCAAAAGGTAGAATGCAGCAAAAATGGGAGACTAAGCAAAATCAGAGAGTACAGAAGGAGAGAATAGGAAAAAAGGGAGAATATAGTAATATGGGAGACAACAAGGGAGAATACATCAAAAAGGGAGAATACAGCCACAAGGGAAAATACAGCAACAAGAGAGAATTCAGCAACAAAGGAGATAACAGCAAAAGGGAAAATACAGCAATAAGGGAGAATACAGAAACAAGGGAGAATACAAAAAGCGCGAATACAGCAACAAGGGAGAATGCAGTAACTAGGGAAAATACAGCAAAAAGGGAGAATACAGCCACAAGGGAGAATGCAGCAACAAGAATACAGGGGAAGTGTAACAAAAAGGGAAAATGCAACAAAATGGAGAATCAACAAAAGGGAGAATGCAACAAGGGCGAATGCATCAACAAGGGAGAATGCAGAAAAGAGAGAGAATACAGCAACAAGGGAGAATGTAGCAAAAAGAGAATGCAGAAACCAGGGAGAATGCAGAAAATGAGAATAAGCAAAAAGAGAGAATACAGAAAAAGGGAAAATAAGCAAAAGGGGAGAATACAATAATAAGGAAGAATGCAGCAACACGGGAGAACACAGCAGCAAGGGAGAATGCAGTAAAGAGGGAGAATGTAGCAACAAAGGATAATACAGCCACAAGGTAGAATACAGAAACAAGGGAGAATGTAGGAACAAGAGAGAATACAGGAACAAGAGAGAATAGAGTAACAAAGGAAAATGCAGCAAAAAGGGAAAATACAGCAAAAAAGGAGAATACAGCAAAAGGGAAAATACAGAAAAAAGGGAGAATACGAAAAAGGAGAAGACAACAAGGGAGAATACAGCAACAAGAGAGAACGTAGCAAAAAGGGAGAATGCAGCCACAAGGGAAAATAAAGAAATAAGGGAAAATACAGCAAAAGGGCGAAAACAGCAACAAGGGAGATTGTAGCAACAAGAGAGAATACAGCAAATAGGGAGAATATAACAAAAGGGGGAATACAGCAAAAATAAGATAAAACAGCAAAAAGGGAGAACAAACAAAAAGGGAGAAGACAACAGCAGGGGAGAAAAAAACAATAATGGAAAATTTAGCAACAAGAGACAATACAGCAGCAAGGGGGAATGTAGCAACAAGGGAGAATACAGCAACAAGGGAGAATGCAGATAAAAGAGAGAATACAGCAAAATAAGAGAGTAAAGCAAAAAGGGAGAGTACAATAAAAAGGGAAAGTACAGCAAAAAGGGAGGATATAGCAAATAGGGAGAATACAAAAAAGGGAGGATACAACAAAAAGGGAAAATACAGCAACATGAAGAAACACAGCAACTAGGGAGAATAGAGCAATAAGGGAGAATACAGCAACAAGGGAGAATAAAGTAACAAGGGAGAATGCAGCAAAAAGGTGAATGCATAAAAAGCGAGAAAACAAAAAGGGAAAATACAGAAATAGGGAGAAGACAGCAGCAAGGGAGAATAAAGCAATTAGGGATGGAGAATTTAGCAACAACGGAGAATACAGCAAATAAGGAGAATACAGCAATTCGGGAGAATGCAGCAGCAAGGGAGAATACAACAACTAGGGAGAATACAGCAACATGAGATACTACATCAACATGGGAGAATAAAGAGATAAGGGAGAATACAGCAAAAAGAGAGAATACACCAAAAGAAGAATCCAGCAGCAATGGATTGCACCTAGTGAGAATACGTCAATAAGAGAGAATACAGAACAAGGGAGAATATAACAATAAGGGAGAATGCAGCAAAAAGGAAATTGCAGCAAAAGGGAGAATAAAGCAACAAGAGAGAATACAAAAACAAGAGAGAATAAAGGACCTAGTGAGAATCCAGCAACAAGGGAGAATAGAAAAACAAGGGAGAATACGGCAACAATAGAGATTTAAGCAAAAAAAAAAGAATATAGCAACAAGGGAGAAAATAGGAACAATGATGAATACAACAACCGAAAATATAGGAACAAGGGACAAATCAAAAAAAGGGAGAATCCAGTAATAAGGAGGAATAAAGTAGCAAGGGAGAATACAGCAACTAGGAAGAATGAAGGAACAAAGGAGAATACAGAAATTAGGGAGAATATAGCAAGAAGGGAGAATATAGTAATAAGGGAGAATACAGGAAAAAGGGAGAATAGAGCAAGAAGGGAGAATACAGCCACAAGGGAAAAAAGAAATAAGGGAGAATACAGCAAGAAGGAAGAAAACAGCAACAAAGGGGAATGCAGAAACAAGGGAGAATGCAGCAAAAAGGAGAATACAAGAACTGGGGAGAAAACAAAAACAATGATGAATACAACAACTGAAAAAAAGCGACAAGGGGGAATGCAGAAAAAGGGAGAATACAGTGGAGGAAGAATACAGCATAAGGAGGAATAGAGCAACAAAGGAGAATGCAGAAACAATGGAGAATAAAGTGATAAGGGAGAAGATAGAAACAAGGGAGAAGACATGGAATAATACAGTAATAAGGGAAAGCAACAAGGGTGAATACAGCTACAAGAGAGAATGTATCAATAAGGGAGCCACCTGGGAGAAAACAGAAACAAAGGAAAATACAGCAATAAGGGAGAATAAATCAACAAGGGAGAAAACAGCAAAAAGGGAGAATGCAGAAACAAGGGACATTATAACAAAAAAGGGAGTACAGAAAAATGGGAGAGTACAGCAAAGATGGGGAATACAGCAAAACGGGAGAATAATGCAAACTGAGAGAATACAGCAACATGAAGGGATGCAGGGATTAGGGATGATACAGCAATAAAGGAGAATATAGCAACAAGGGAGAATGCAGAAAGAAGGGAGAATACAGCAAAAAGGGAGACTGTAGCAACAAGGCAGAATAGAGCAAAAAAGGAGAATAAAGCAAAAAGGGAGAACCAGCAAAAAAGAGAATCCAGAATGCAGCACCCAGGAAAAATACATCAATAAGAGAGAATACAGAATAAGGGGGAATACAGCAACAACGGGTAATGCAACAAAAAGGGAAAATACAGCGACAAGGGAGAATTTAGCAATAAAGGAGAATACAGCAAAAGGGAGAATACGGCAGAAAGGGAGAATAAAACAACATGGGAGAATTTAGCAACTAGGGAGAATATGGCCACAAGGAAGATTACAGAAAAAAGAGAGAATACAGAAAAAGGGAGAATACAGCAACAGGGAGAATGCGAAAAAATGAGCATACAGCAAAAATGGAAAATACTGCAAAAAGGGAGAATACAGCAAAAAGTGAGAATAAAGCAAAAAGGGAGAATACAGCAAAATTGGGGGAAATACGACAATAATGGAGAATACAGCAAAAGGGAGAATACAGTCACAAGGGAGAATGCAGCAACAAGGCACAATGCAGCAACAATGGAGAATGCAACAAGAATATAGGAAAAAGGGAGAATGTAGCAACAAGGGAGAATACAGCAAGAAGGGAGAATGCGGAAACAAGGATGAATATAGGAAAAAGGGAAAATCCATAAAAAATTGAGAATACAACAAAAAGGGAGAATACAGCAACAGGGAGAAGACAAAAACATGAAGGAATACAGCAACTAGGGAGAATAGAGAAATAAGGGAGAATAAAGGAGTAAGGAAAAATGCAGCAACTAGGGAGAATACAGCAACAAGGGAAAATACAGCAACAAGGGAGAATACAGCAACGAGGGAGAATACAAGAGAGAATCCAGCATCAAAGTAGAATACAGCAAAAAAGGAGAATACAGCAAAAATGAGAATCCAGCAGTAAGGGAGAATAGAAAACCTAGGGAGAATACATCAATAAGAGTGAATTCAGAAGAAGGGAGACTACAGCAAAATGGCAGAATACAGCAACAAGGGAGAATACAGCAACGAGGGAGAATACAGCAACAAGGGAGAATATGGCAAAAAATGGAGAATACAGCAAAAAGGGAGAATAGGGAACAAGGGAGATTATAGCAAAAAGGAAGAATTCAATAACAAAGGAGAGTACAGCAAAAAAGTAGAGTACAGGAAACATGGAGATTACAGTTAAAATGGAAAATGCAGCAAAAGGGAGAATAAAGCGGTAAGGGAGAATATAGCAAAAGGGAGAATATATCAACGAGGGAAAATACAGCAACAAGGGAGAATACAACAGCAAAGGAGAATGGAGCTACAAGGAAGAAGACAGCCACAAGGGATGATACAGCCACAAGGGAGAATATAGCAACAAGGAAAAATACAGCAACAAGGGAGAATACAGTAACAAGGGAGATTGTAGCAACAAGGAAGATAGCAACAAGTGAGAATACAGCAAAAAGGGAAAATACACCAATAATGGAGAATACAGCAGCAAGTGAGAATACAACAAGGGAGAATACAAGGGAGAATACAGCAATAGAGAGAATATAGGAAAACGGAAAAAATACAGCAACAATGGCGAATACAGCATAAAGGGAGAATGCAGGAAGAAGGGATAATGCAGGAACAAGGAAGAATACAGCAACAAGGGAGAATATAGTAACAAGGGAGAATATAGTAACAAGGGAGATTACAACAACATGGGAGAATATAGTAACAAGGGAGACTACAGCCATAAGGGAGAATACAAGGGAGAATGCAGCAACAAGGGAGAATACAGCACAGCAAAAGGGAGAATACAGGAGAATACAGCAAAAAGGGAGAATACAGCAAAAAGGGAGAATACAGAAAAGGGAGAATACAGCAAAAAGGGAGAATACAGCAAAAGGGAGAATACAAAAATACAGCAAAAAGGGAGAATACAGCAAAAGGGAGAATACAGCAAAAGGGAGAATACAGCAAAAAAGAATACAAAAAGGAGAATACAGCAAAAAGGAGAATACAGCAAAAAAGCAGCAAAAAGGAGAATACAGCAACAAGGGAGAATACAGCAAAAAGGAGAATACAGCAAAAAAAGGAGAATACAGCAAAAAGGAGAATACAGCAAAAAAGGAGAATACAGCAAAAAGGGAAGAATACAGCAAAAAGGGAGAATACAGCAAAAAGGGAGAATACAGCAAAAAGGAGAATGCAGCAAAAAAGGAGAATACAGCTAAAAAGGAGAATACAGCAAAAAGGGAGAATACAGCAAAAAGGGAGAATACAGCAAAAAGGAGAATACAGCAAAAAGGAGAATACAGAAAAAAGGAGACAAAAAAGGAGAATACAGCAAAAAGGGAGAAACAGCAAAAGGGAGAATACAGCAAAAAGGAGAATCAGCAAAAAGGGAGAATACAGCAAAAAGGAGAATACAGCAAAAAGAGAATACAGCAAAAAAGGAGAATACAGCAAAAAGCAGCAAAAAAGGAGAATCAGCAAAAAGGAGAATGCAGCAAAAAGGGAGAATACAGCAAAAAGCAGCAAAAAGGGAGAATAGCAATACAGCAAAAAGGAGAATACAGCAAAAAAGGAGAATACAGCAAAAAAGGAGAATACAGCAAAAAGGAGAATGCAGCAAAAAAGGAGAATACAGCAAAAAGGAGAATGCAGCAAAAAGAATACAGCAAAAAGGGAGAATACAGCAAAAAGGAGAATACAGCAAAAAGGGAGAATACGGCAAAAAGGAGAATGCAGCAAAAAAGGAGAAGTGCTACTCGTAGCAAAGTTTTGCCTTTTAATTTTTTCTGAACTTGACCTCTGTTGCGCTCCATATGTTTTGGCAATATTTGATTTTATTGAGAACTTTGTATAACGAATATCCTAGTTTCAGCGGGGATTCATTTTTTACTTAGCTTATGTAAATTAGTATGCCCAATACGTTTCTGTGGATGTTGTCGACATGGTTTTCAGATGAAATGAATCTGTCATTGTCCACACAGTTTCTTTTACGTAAATGTTTGGGCTTGAGTAGCTGTCTCCAAATTTTAAGGTAGTGTTTATCTAAATTTTGGTGACGTTTTGGCGACTAGCCATGGAGATATATTCTGTTTAATCTGGATTCATATTGAGACCATTTATATCAACTATCTTTTTACTTGTGAAAGTGTCTTGTTTCGTTTATTATTATTATTATTATTATCTTTATCTTTTTTATTTTATTTGATTTTTTTAATTGATTTATTTAAGTTGTTTACAGAATCACTATGGAGAAATTGTGAATTATCGGCGTATTGGATAAGAAGAGAATTTTGAGCTATGGTTGACAGATCATTTACGAATATTGTGAACAGAACTGGGCCTCATATAGATCCTTGTGGAACACCGAAAGATGCTGTCTGTTTTGCTGATATGTTCTCGTGAATTTTAACTCACTGGGTTGTGTTACTTGAATAACTTCTGAGCCGATAAGTATCAATTTTGTTATGTATTAGTTTACTAATAATGATTTCGTGGTTGACACTATTAAAAGCCTTGGATAAATCGTACAATGTATGCATATTTATATGGTGGTCTATAGTCTCCAAAATTTTATTTGTGATCTGTAATTATGTTGTTTCAGTAGACAGCATACTTTTGAAACCATGTGTTTTGGATAGTAGGTCATATCTCTAGAAATGTTGTCAATTAGTCTACTGCGTTTTTTTTCAAGAACTTTAGACAGTATAGGAAGTATGGTAATAGGGCGATGGTTATTGTCTCCGGATTTGAAATCTGGTGTTAGTATGCCATGTCTCCAAAGCGATGGATAGTCACCGGTGACGAGAGATGTGTTAATGATAATAGTTAGATAATAAGCCATTGCAGATAGACTGTCTCAGATCAATTGAAAAGCAGTGCCATCCGTTCCCACAACAATTCACGCAGGTGTTTTATTGTAAGGATTACAAGTATGGATTGTTTCTATTTATAAAGGTTGCGGTCTGGAAATATTGGCGAAGGGCCTTATAGTACCTGGATTTTGCTGAGATGTGGAAACATTTGTTTGTTCATATATGATGTTTAATTTTAGCGAAGGACTTGTCAAACTCATTTGCACTAATTTTGAAATGATTAGTATCTCTGATTTTTTTTTCGCAAATGTTTTAACAATCTTCCATGTTCTATCAGTCTCTTTTACCTTTTTTCTAAAATAAACGGGTTTGCCTCCTTGTATAAGGGATTTGACACTTTCCCTTTGTTTATAATCAGCCTAGAGTGCCATGTTGAATCTGGTATATTTGAGAGATTTATGAGCGCTATTTCTGTCTGTTATTTCTTTAATGTTGTTCATCCATGGAGCAGAAGGACGTCTATTTTTTTCAACAGATGGAGCGATGGGATCCATACCGCCGTTAATCACTTCCGTGAAAACATTATCTGTTTGTCTACGTTATCTGTTTGCAAAATTTGAGAGTTGATTCTTTTGCTGTTATATGTTGGCATAGTGATTGGAAGTCGTAGTTGCTTGATTCACGAAAGTTTTTTATGACTAGCCGTTTTGATTTTTTTTATATTGTCACCAGTATGAGTTCGTGATCGGCAACACAGCATGGGGTGACGTTTGTGTGGAGAACGGTGCCAGCTCTGTCTATTATCATCTCATCAATTAATGACAAAGTGTTATCTGTGACGATACAGCAACAAGGGTAACTACACCAAGGGGCGAACACAGCAACACGCCACCCTCGACTAAAGCAGAGCGGGAGACTCGGAAACGCCGCGAGATGACCTTCGACCCCCATCCCCTCCCCATCTCAAAAGGTCAGAAGCAGCACTCTGCAAATTACCATAATATCTCCCGCAGACAACTTCCCACTCTTTATAGATACCATGATTACTTTTTAAGGGAAAGGCCGATGGTTGGGAAGGGTTAAGGGAGAGCAGGTGGGGATGAGGAAGGGCTGACGAGGAGGCATACAGGGAGAAGAGGAGGAAAAGAGGATGGGTGCTGAAGGAGGAAACGAAGAAGAGTGGAATAAAAGGGCATTTCATATCCATAACCAATCCATCGTCTATAAAGATGTCTTCGGAAAGTCCAGAATTATTTAACTTGTTGGACACAGTAATACACCCGGACAGGACGATCCTGCTGTTATCCGAACACTGTACATCGATCTCTGCAACGCCTCAGTATAGCCCAGATATAGCCACGGAAACACAATAGAAAAACCTCACTAGCCAACTAAAAAAAAGCTACCAAGAAAGGAATGCCTCGTGATAGTGCTTGAACCAGGACAATGGACGAAGGACTGAATAACTCGGCATCAGCTCTCACCGCAGCCCCTCCGAACATTCACTAGGTAACAAGCCACAATACAGTAAGCTTTATTGATCTGTTTGACCGGTCCGGGTGATATAAACACATCTTAGATATTTTAGACTGGAATTCTGCAGTGCGTTTAGGTACTCAACACAACAATAAACAATTGTATACGTTTAAATCGCAAATTCATAACTTATTAAAGACATTAGAATAACATATTTTCCCTCTAAACATTTCATGGAATGTATATTGAATTTTATAACATCAAAGGAACAGCCATTAACCTAGAGGTAACCTTGAACTCATGCCTTCAAAGTTTTAGCTGCAGTGCAATCACCGTCTCTATACTCTGCAATATTAAAATACTGTTGGTATTAAACTGAAAA